GGGTTTTTTTTTTTTTTTTTTTTTTTTTTTTTAGAGTGTAGTAGATCTTTTCCACGGGCTATCTTTGGGAGTTTTGGCATTCGGGGAACCAGCTTAGAATATGTCTGGCACGGCTGGTTTCTGCACCGCTTTTGCCACAGGGACTATGAATAAAAACTGAGGAGCATCAGAGGGAACAAATCCTGGGTCTCAGACACTGCAGAAACCCCTGGTAGGACCTGGGTGAACCACTGTTTCAAGGATCATCCAGAAAGTTTTTGAAAAGAGGTGGATGGAATACAGGAGAGACACCCAGCCCTATTGTGCTGGCCCGGGGCTCTTCTATTTGGCCTCTGAACTCCAGTGTGCAAGGCCTAGAGCCACAGTCACAGTGACCTCTGAATGGAACGCAGCCCCTCCCTTTAGGCACTAGGCCAGCCAGCCAGGATCTCTGGAGGTGTGGGTGGCCGGGGAGGGCAGAGACCTGGACCAGCCCCCAAGGGCTATATTCTGGTTGCAGGCTCTCCACTCATCAGTCCATCCATTCCTACCTCCAGAGTCCAAGGGTCCATGTGGTGAGCAGGTTGAGTTGTGCTAGGTATTACAAAGGGACAACTGGTAGGTGGGCAGCATGAGCTTTGAGGAGCTGCTAGACAAGGTGGGTGGCTTCGGGCCCTTCCAACTGCGGACTATGGTGATAATGGCCCTTCCCCGAATCCTACTTCCCTTGCATTTCCTCCTACCCATCTTCCTGGCCGCGGTGCCTGCCCACCACTGTGCCCTGCCTGGTGCCCCTGCCAACCTCAGCCACCAGAAAGTGTGGCTGGAGGCCCATCTGCCTCAGGAGCCTGATGGCACCTTTAGCTCCTGCTTCCGCTTTGCCCATCCCCGGGCTCTCCCCAACACCACCTTGGGGAGAGAGGCAAACAGCTCTCAGGATCTGGAGAATGAACCTTCTGTAGTGCCCTGCTCTCAGGGCTGGGAGTACGACCACTCAGAATTCTCCTCCACCATTGCAACTGAGGTACCTGAGCCCAGAGGAGGAGGGACATGAGTGGATGGGCATGAGTGGGATGGGCTTGTGGTTGCCTGGGGGGTTGCTGTGTGGGCATTAGATGCTTTCCTTTGAGAGTTTCAGTTTACCTGTCTGTAGAGTCTAAAGCACTGAGTTTAGTTCTTGGCCTGTGTGAGTGGTTCCTATGTAGAAGTGGCAGTTGCTATGATTCTCTGGGGGGTGACAGGCTGGGGAGGGCTAAGGTGGCTCCACGGAGTTGAGACAGAGAGCTGAGAAGAGTGTTTCTGTAGTAAGAGGTAGAGAAACTACAGCGGCCGCCACTTTTCCTGTTGTCCTCTCTTCCGGTCTCAGGTCTGGGATTTACATGATCCATCTGCAGAGGGAGTGTGAGTAGAGAGAGGCAGAGTCTGGAGGATGGGTAGTGGGTGGGGAGGACTGGGTGGTTATAGTCCTCCATGGGAAGATGCCAAGGTGTGGGACTAGCAAGGGGCAAAGCCTACCCCTTCTGACACTGAGGTGGATAGCCAGGGGTGGAGTACCTTCTGATATATAAGTGCCTGAATGTCCCTGTTGCTGGAGAGGAGGGACTGGTACTGGCTGGAGAGGGGCTTATACATATAGGAGGCCCCTGCCTGCCTGTCTTTGCAGTGGGATCTGGTGTGTGAGCAGAGAGGCCTGAACAAACTTACATCCACCTTCTTCTTCATCGGTGTGCTGGTGGGGGCTGTGATCTACGGCTACCTGTCTGACAGGTGAAGTGAGGAACCAGGAAAATAAGGGAACAGGCTGAGGGAAGCTGTTCCATGAACTGCGGGTTAGGCCTTCTTACCTGTGTCTTGGAAGCTCCACAAGGAGCTGACCCTACATGACCCTTTGCAGGTTTGGGCGGCGCTGGCTTCTGCTGGTAGCCTATGTGAGCTCCCTGGTGCTTGGCTTGCTGTCTGCAGCCTCTGTCAACTATGCCATGTTTGTCATCACCCGCACCCTCACAGGCTTAGCCCTGGCTGGCTTCACCATCATTGTGTTGCCACTGGGTAAGGCAGACAAAGCACAGGCAAGGCCTGCAGGGCTGGAGGGAGGCTGTTGTCTGGGAGAGATGGCCCATCTGGCCCTTGCTAACCGTCTTTCTGTCTCTGATGGCCCTGGGCCTAGAGCTGGAGTGGCTGGATGTGGAGCACCGCACTGTGGCCGGTGTCATCAGCTCCATCTTCTGGACAGGAGGCGTGCTACTGCTAGCACTAGTTGGGTACCTGATACGGGGCTGGCGATGGCTTCTGCTGGTTGTTACTCTGCCATGTGTCCCAGGCATCCTTAGCATCTGGTGAGGACTGCAGGCAGATGAGAGTGGGAGATGCATCAAATCAAGACAAACTTAATTAAAGACTAAGAGTCAAAGACAGAGAGTCTGAGAGATGTAGAGCTAGGGATGTAGCTCCGTTGTAGAGGGCTTGCCTAGCATACACAATGCTCTGGGTTTAGCCCTAGCATGGAATAAACCAGGTATGGTGGTATACCCCTACAACCCTAACACTTAGGAGATAGAGGCATGAGGGTCAGAAACTCAGTCATCTTTGGCTACGTAGAGTATACAAAGCTGGACTGGGCTACATGAGACTTTGTCTCAAAAAAAAAGGAAAGAAAAGAGAAAAAGAAATGAAGAAGCAGGGATGGGGACATCCGGGGAGATGATGAAGTTGGTAAAATACTTGCCATTCAAACATGAGGAGCTGAGTTTGGGTTCCCAGCATCCACGTTAAAAAGTTGGGCACAGAGATGTGTGCCTTGGGAGAGGAGGATCTGGGATTTGCTAGGCAGTCAGTCTATCTGGATCAGCAAGCTTAGGTTCATCAAGACCCTGTCTCAAAAAACTAAGGTGAGGGGCTGGAGAGATGGCTCAGTGGGTTAAGAGCACTGGCTACTCTTACAGAAGACCTGGATTTGATTCCCAGCTCCCACATGGTGGCTAACAACCGTCTGTAACTCCACTGGATCCAACGCCCTCTTCTGACCTCTGAGGGCATTGCACAACACAGGTGCACCTACCTGTATGCAAACAATATACTCATACACATAAAATAAAAAATAAAAAAAACTAAGGTGAAAAATGATTGAGGAAGACACCTGATGTTGACTTGTAGTCTCCATGCACACAAAACATGCATACACATGTGCACATACACAAAGACATACACCTGCATACACTATACATATACAAAGAGACTGAAAGATGTAGCAAGGGACTCAGGAACCACAAAACAGAAAGACACCAAGAGAAGTCAGAGAAAGAGAGACCAATAGAGAGAAGATGGCACAAGACAGAGAGGCAAAGATGGAAAGACAGAGACCGAGCCAGTGCGAGGCAGCAGATGACAGAGACCAGAGCAGAAAGGCAGATTCAAAAGGACAGACAGACACAGACACAGGGAGAAGTCATGAGAGAAAACAAGAGTAAAAGACAAGCCTGATGGTGATGGAGAGTCAGACAGGGCCAAGTAGAGGTTGAGGCTGGCCTTGAAGGGGTAGGGAAGCCATGGCGGTAGCTCAGGCAGGAGGGTGGAAGGCCTGGCAAGGTGAGCATTTCACTGCCTCCCAAAGACAAACTGGCTTTGGATGACCCTTCTGGGTATATTTGTATGTCTGTCCAGCCTTCATCCTGCACCTTCCTGCCAGAAGTGTTTAGCTGGTGCTGGGAGCTAAGGTTTTGATGCTAAGACCAGTTCAGTTGAGTAAGGAAGGGCCTCCTTGGAGGAGTGGGGGATCTAGGTCCGAGCAAGGAAATGAGGGAAGAGGTAGCTTTTAAATTGGGCTTGAAGAAGAGCTTGTCTGGGGTGAGGGCTTGAGGGAGGAGATGCTGTTTCAGGAAGACTGCATAAGCAAGAACTGGAAGTTGACAGCCTGGGATGTCAGAAGGGGAGGTGGCTTACAGGGCTGGTTTTCTAGCTGAAGGTCCACTGACTTCTCTCTTAGGTGGGTACCTGAGTCTGCACGCTGGCTTCTGACCCAGGGCCGTGTGGTGGAGGCCCAAAGGTACTTGTTGTGCTGTGCCAAGTTCAATGGGCGGCCCGTGGGTGAGGACAGCCTGAACCAGGAGGTGAGAGTGACAATGTGTGTGAGAGAATGCACAGGGGTGGTGGTGGGGTGGAGTGTATGTGTGTTGTAACAAGTGCTCCTTCTCCTGGGACCCACCATATGTGCCCAGAAAAGCCCCTCCCTGACCGCCATTGGAGAGTTCCAAGTGCTTTAGAATGGCCTGCCTGGCTCTAGCAGGTCATATGTGTTCCATGTGCACCTCCACCCAGCACTGCTAAGGAGAGAGGCGGAGAGGGGAGAGGGGAGAGGGGAGGGGGGAGAGAGATACAGAGAGAGAGAGAGAGAGAGAGAGAGAGAGAGAGAGGAGAGGGGGGGAGAGGGGGAGAGACGGGGGGGGGGGGGGGGGAGAGAGATATCGCGATTACACAGCCCACTACG